TGCTTGTTTAGGTGGGCGGTAGGGGTAATCACGTTTGAGCATTGTCGTTATTGGACAAAAACGCTGTGACTTTTTGGGAACCCAACTTTTCTTTTCTCTCTCTCTCTCTCTCTCTTTTTATCTCTCTCTCTCTCTCTCTCTCTCTTGCTCTCTCTGGTCTCAACTTGTGCTATTGCATGTTTTGACGTTGCGAAATTAAGGCTTCAGCCAGGAGCGCTCATGCGTTACGTTCAATTGTCCGTAAGTAATTTGTCCCCGTGTTGCATTTACATGGTTTCTCTTGGAAAAAGAAACACTAAAAGGGCTGTTAATGATGTTGTGACGGATTGGAACAATAAACACGATGCATGCCCCAAACCAGGGGAACCATTGAAACCGTTGACCGGAGCACAAGCAGAAACTGAGCAAGTATGTAGATTAGGTAGCCAAAGCTTGCAACTAGCACACGCCAGCAATGGGAGAAAGGGCAAACCGATGGTTTCGCGGAGATCGGTTTTGGTTAAACAAAATCCTTCATGTCAAGCTGGAAGAAGACAATGATCTCCTCACACCACATGAGCGAAGAGAAATTCAAGAGGCCCGGCTGGCCGCTGAAGAGGATCCTTTGCAGGAAGCGAGGTTTGAACTTCCGATCTCAGATGAACGATCAGGTTTGGACGATAGAATCAACTCCGATGTGCTTAGCTTAAGGGACCTCAATGGAGCAGAACTGGATCATGATCAGCTAATGTCCGTCCTCCTCACCACCTTCGACATGCCGGACCCCAACGGTGGCATTGCTTGGATCAAGAACGAACTCCGTCTCGATCGAAGCGTGGAGGTGACACTGTGTTCGCATCCTTGGCCAGGAAGGGCCACTCGTCGCGCGACGGTGTGGCAACAATTCGTCGCTGAGTTTGATGACGTCGTTTGGCATTTTCCCGGTGAGCCACAGTTGTCCCAGCCCAAAGATGACACAGATGACACAGCAGAACCAGCAGAACCAGAGAACGGAACCTGCACCGTCCACGCAAAGCTGATCTTATTGGAGTTTCACAGTCGCCTCCGGGTGGTGATCACCAGTGCCAATTTGCTTGCGAGCCATTGGGAGATGATGAACGAAGTTGTTTGGGTCCAGGATTTTCCCAGAACCACTGGACCCAATCTATACAGACTACTGGAAGCAGAGTTTGGCTGCGATTTGTCTCACTTTTTGGCTCAGACACTGGACGCAGCGCCAAAGCAGAGAAGGGCAGCTTGGCTTTCACGCCTTGCTGACTTTGACCTTCAATCAAATGCTCACTTGGTATTGTCTCTACCAGGAAAGCACGAGCCAGCCATTGCGCTGCAGCCTGGACAACTTGCTCTAAGGTTATCAGTGTTTGAAGCATCGAAGAAGCTTCCAGAGGCAGAGTTGGAGCTTTCCACCCTTTCAGGGTCAGCCTGGCTTAAGAAGGAACAGGGCACATGGAGACTCTACGACTCGGAAGGCAAGACATGTCTATGCTTGGATGAGATATCACAGAAGGCCTTATTTGCAGCAGAGAATCTGAATATGAAAACAGATTTGTTTGTTCCTTTAGCTCAAACAGACATCCAGATTGTCACGACACTACTGCCAGAAGACGTGGATTGGAATTCTCCACCAGAGTTGCTCCTTCGCTTGAAATTGAGTTACAAAAGACAAGACTTGAAGGATCTCGAAGGTAGCTGGACTCAGACTGATTTGGTTGAGTTCTTTGCCATTTTGTTGAGCCAATTGGAAGTGGATTACGGGCTTTTTGCACTGCGACGACATTTGAATGAAGTGTGGGCACAAGCCGAAGAAGAAGACTATGTTGCAATCACAAGTAGTGTCAGCGCTTTGGATGAGACGTGGTTCCGAGCTCTAGATCAGTGCTGCGGACGTTTTGCTCAAGATGCAGGACTCGCCGATATATCCATCCTGATAGCAATGGCCTCTAACCTAAGAGCGTCCTTGCTCCTAGTAGCGATGCCAGGAGCCCCTAGTAGCTTCTTGTTCCTAGTAGTAAGGCCAGGAGCCCCTAGTAGCGTCCTTGCTACTACTAGCGATGGCCTCCAACCCAAAAATGCGTAAATACTGTCCAATGAGATTTCGCTAGAAGTTGACTGGACGTTTTGCGCACAAGGTTTTGCACGGATGCTGTATGCTGAGTTGACGTAATTGGATGTGATCGCTACTAGTAGCAAATAGCTACCAGTTGCTATTTGCTCCCAGTAGTGATGCCCTTGTTACTAGTAGCTTCTTCCTAGTAGTAAGGCCAGGAGCCCCTAGTAGCGTCCTTGTTACTAGTAGCGATGCCCTTGTTACTAGGATTCTTCTTGTTTGATGTGCATTTCTGGATTATGCTGTGTTGCTAGGCCCAAAGGTGGTGGTGCGTGATACTCCCAGCATCGAGTACAGCTGGCTGCACGCATGGCAGGATCGGCTGGTGCAGCATCGCAGCCCTTCGCATCGCAGCCCTTCGCATTCACCTGGACGGGAGAAGATCCCTAACCACAGCAGCTTTTGCAAAGAAGGAAACAATCAAAGTCTAAAGGTTCTTTTTAAAGACAACATGAATCAACATGAAACGACGGTATAAACAGAAAAACAGAAGAAAGAATAGACAACAAACCCTAAACAAAGTGCTGTTTTCGTTGCTACTCCTTGCTATGGTTTTGAACCTAACTGCCCTGCACAAGAACACAACAATTTTATAGAAAGAGCGCTTTAAGTTGTTTTGTGCTTTTCCGCTAGTAGGTTGGAGGCCATTGCTATTAAATTTTTGCTTTTCCCCTTGTGGTGTTTGTTCTTGGTTTCAAGTCTCTCGACTCTTAAGACCCAAAACTGACGTTTCCTGTTGTTTTCCTTTCCTTAAGTCTTTTTGTCCTTTCCTACTTGTAGCAAGAAGACTCTGAATGGGACCCTTTGTGCCGGCTTTTCAGAATTTGGAGTGTTCAATTTAAACATCTAAGGTGTTCGCTACTAGTAACAAGGGCATCGCCACTAGTGATAAGACATATGACATTTAAGGTGTTTGGACGTCGTCCGCTCGCACGGGTCTTTGTTTGTTTTTCTATGTCAGGTCTTGGACGTCGTGAACCAAGAACTCCTCAAACAAAACAGAAAAAATCAACAATACTTTTTGGTCGAAATGCTTCGACTGGGGTTAGGCTTCTGATCATTTTTGACCGAAAGCACCCCATACTTCTACATGCACGAATGCTGACGCTAACAAGAACTCTTTCAGAGTATTCTCCACAGCGTCTCTTAGCTTGATGGTCTTCTTATGTCTCTCAACGTTTGCTTTGAAGCTCCTTCGCCCTGTTGGGGGCGTTGCTTCTTTGGTCAGAGCCTGTTCGTTTGGCGGAGCTGAGCTGAGGCAAGCTCATTACTCGCATTTTCAAAGACAAGTCTACGGAAAAGCACTACGGATGGGTCTACGTGGGATCTCATAACCTGACATGTGCTGCATGGGGTACAATTTCAAGGCTCGATTGCCAAAGCTATCCACGTGTTGGGGCCCGCAACAGCATGATTTCCTTTCCCAGAAGGCACAACATTCAGCTTTCCTGGATAGACACTGCTGGGCACACAAGTTTTGTAAGCTGCAAGTCACCCAGGATCCAAAGTGTGCTCCTCCTTCATGCCATGTGCTGAGATGTCGGACCTTTTGAATTTCTCTTCAGAGCATGGACAGCTACAACTCTTCAAACTTGTGCATCCTGGTTTCGCCCCTGAAGGAACGAGGAGGAAATACTTTGGAGTAATAACCGTGAACTGGGAATTTTGCTTCAAGCGCCGTCAGCGGCCGCGCGGGCGGCTGCGCCGGCGGCTGCGCAAAACGCGCACCTCGGCTTGGCTCGATCCATCGGTTTTACACTTTGGAGTGTTTTATTGCCCAAAACGGTACGAAAGACAGCTTGTTGGATGGCATAAACAATGCTTTGTGTCATTTGTCTTGCTGTTTTGGGACCTTCTAAATGACATGTTTTATTCAGTTTTCTTGTATAGAAGCTTATGAAAGCCTAGTATTTAGCAACATGCTCTTAACAGGCCTGGGGGCGAAGCGTTAACCTCAGCTTGAAATGCGCAGCACAGGTCCGTCTCGGCCGGTTTTGACATCTCTGAAATGCCGTGGCCATTCAGCTTTCCATTGCATCGAGCAGAGCTTGCGACTTGTTATCAGGAAGTAGAAAAGAATGTAGGCAAAGGATGGTGCAACTGTAGACTCGCTATTTGTTTGACTAGTGTCAACAAACAGCTTGGCCACATGCTACCTTGTACCGAGGAAGAGGGCGATTTTCAAGCGGAATCTGCAGAGAATCAGGATTATCATTGGAGTTGGTGGAACTCTGATGACTGGTACTGGTGCTGGACTTCAAGTAGCTGGGTGAGAGGTAACTCAGATGAGAACTGGCAGAACTGGGAAGTGGATTCGGTGACTGAAGGCCAAGGAGATTGGCGACTGCAGCCAAAATATTCGTGGTGGTGGACCGCATAAACAGAACAGCAACGAAGGTCTTACAAGAAAATAATAAAAGAAGCTGTCAAAAAAGGGCCACCCTGCTCCGATGCTCGGATTCAACAGGAAATACCCTGCATGCCGGAGCATAGCGAGCGGTGCGACCGGAGGTCTCAGTGTCCGAGTTTGTCGTGCGTTACGACACACTGAGCGACTCCAGACAACGGCCCCAAGAGCTGATTGGCTTACTGAACTGCTGTGAGAGCAAAGCTTCTGGAAGAGTTTCATGCAAAAAACATGGAGCAGAGTATGCCTTTCCAAGCAAGCTTGTTTGATTTGAGTTGAAATGGATTGCTTGTTCCACTACATGCTTGACCCTCGAAGCAGACTGAACAGCCTGAGCGCAAATTGGAAAGGGTCTCTCGTTTCTGAGTGATCAGGTAAGAGTCCAGAAGCGAATGTTCAAGTCTGTGGATTGACTAATGCAGTGCTACTAGTAAGGCACTTGTTACTAGAAGCGATGCACTTGTTCCTAGTAGCTTCTTGTTACTACTAGTAAGGCACTTGTTACTACTAGCGTGGCACTTGTTCCTAGTCGATTTGAAGAACAGCAGTTTGCATAGAGCCACGCCATGCTAGGTTTCACGTGAGACTCGATGACGGAGACGAAGGAGATAAAGACAAGCTGATGAAGGTGTCCGCCGTTGCCTGTCAAACCCGAGTTTAGTCTTGTATGTTGGCTTCAAATGGCTTCGCTTGCTTTATTTTGCTGTAGATCCGCAGTTCAGGTGCGCAATTTAGAGCTTTTGCCAAGCCTTTGGCTCAGTTGCCCCATGGTTTGATCGAAGCACCAAAAGGATGCGAGTCATATAATATCAAAAAAAACGATCCATTTGTGATATAATACAATCTATACAGTCATGTCATATCAAGGAATCATACCATTATGCAATCGATGAAATCATATGACGTTTTTTACACAACTGGCACCGATGTTTCTTGTCAACAAAGCTGACGCAATCGGGGCATCACTGTTTTGGTCGTGATGAGTATGGAAGAGTGTTTGCCTAAGGCTCCCCAGCTCCGGCACAGCCAAAGGTGAGAACAAACAAATTTGGAGCATCGAAATATCCAAGACACTCTGCAGAACATGTATTTATATAGAACAACCTAATAGCAATGGCCTGACCTTCAACCTACTAGCGATGGCCTCCAACTTAATATAGCACTTATCCAGTCCAGATTCAGAACCAGTGTGGCAAGCCTGGCTGGTTGTTGCCCACGTTCGTTTTTTGGAAGGTAATTGGAGGGAGCAGCCAAGCTCCACCAGCTCAAAGACAAACTACAGTTCCTTCGCCTGCGGGTCCAGCTCCGGCTTCAGCAGCTCAAAGACCAGCTGCACAACGCGATGTGCTGAGTCACTCCTGCACCAAGCGCTTTTGCTATCAATTTGCTATCAAGCTGCATGTTGCTTCAAGATCGTTTAGGGTTGAGTGGATGAACAGCATTGTAATTAGCTAATCGGTTGCGTGCTTCGTTCTACACTCTATGCCACTCTTATGCAGTTCGTTGCAATGTTTGGTTGTTTTGGCCGAAGAACACTTGGCTTCTCGTTTGTGGCACCTCGCCTCAGGTGCTGCTCGGCCGATGCCGAAGCTGCGCAACGTTTTGCAGGCGTCAGCAAATGCGAAGCAAGACTTTCGATTGTGCAAAGGAATGGACAATGAAAACAGTAACAACAAAGCAATGGGAACCAACAAGAAGAAAGATGATCGTCGAAAGTTGTGAAGGCCAAGTCCAAGTCTTAAATAATGGATTTGGGGATAGCAAAAAGTAGTTATCCTTCTGTTCCTTCTTGTTACTTTTATTTATTTGAGATCTTTAGAACCTCTTGTCTCCACAACATATATATTTATATATCCGCTGTATCGAGGTCTTTTGATAGAAACTCCTAGAAAAGCAGAGACATCCATGCATGAGCATAGGCGAAGAAGAAGAGGAAGAAAAAAGCAAACACAAGAGAGGTAGTTGATAGGAGCCTTTGTTGCAATTCCAGGCTGCAAAGCCTACTTGGACTGAGAAGGATCTAACTGCAGTGGTGGAAAAGCTCTTGAGAGCCAAGGCGGTGATGGAAATCTTCAAGACTCGATTGACATGTGATCAATGGCTTTGCTGCACAACTGCTACTACCATCTACTACTGTACTACTACTACTACTACTACTACTACTACTACTACTACTACTACTA